ATGGTGTCTCGAGGCAGGCTTCGGCTTCCTGGACAATGACCCGCACATCACGACGAGGGACATGCTCAGTTGGGATGGGCTTCACCTGTCCCCCAAAGGTAAGCGTGTGTTCTCTTCTAGGTTGGCGGATCTCCTCCAACCTAGTCTTGGTGTAGCATAACTTTGAGCTGCCTAACAAGTACTTAAAACTAATTTCAGGTGTTAATGCATGGACAATCCAGTTGTTAAGAGCTTGAGGAGCTGCCAAAAACTACTGTGTAATAAGTCCTAACTTAACTCAGAATGCGTAACACAGCTCAAAGATAGTCCTTGCCCAAAGTGGCATAACTTTAAGATACCTAGAGAGCACTTAACGCTTGTTAACAAGCCTCAATGTGAGATCATTCAAGTTTTAAGTGCTCTTAACACGGTCTAATTGTAATGTGTAATATCACCCCAAGATGATTTTTTTTTTTCCATAATCACCATGAGAGGGAAAAAAGTCTCATTTTAGATTCAAGTACCAGCCTGGGGGAGGCACAGCTCAGCTCTGGCTTTAGCTTTAGGATTGGGGCTGAAGCCAGAGCTGGTCTGCTGCCTGACCTAGGATGCAGTGGTTTGTGGAGAAAGGAAGTGGGTGTTTGGTGAGAAAAGTGTGAGAGAGACTGCACAGTGCAGAGGGGAAGGGCACAGAGGAGAGACCTGCAGTGTACAGTCTGGGGGGGAAGTGTGAGGAGACCATGAAGGCTGCCCCTCCCCGCCACTACCTAGCCCCTACCTGGCCACTTTCCCCTCCCACTGCTGGAAATGGAATTTTATAATTCTCCGTGTATAGAGTCTAAGTTTAATGGTAATCTGATACTTCATCATGAGCTCATTCTGTTCATACATTCTGTTAATACAGGGCTGTCAGTTTTCTTAGTGGCCACATGCAGCATCATGCCACATGGGTCCCACACTACACTGTGCCAGTGCCCCATGCCCCACACATAGCACTGTGCACCTCCCAAGCCATATCATGCTGGTAATTCTGCGCTTCATGGGGTCCCCAGGTTCCCTCAAACACTCAGCCACGGGCTCCCTCAGCCCCACCCTGCCACCAGGAGTAGGGGTGGAAGCACAAGCTGGAGGAGAATGGGGAAAGCCAGAGCCTTCAACTATGGCAACAACAGCTAGAGCGGTGTGGGGAATAGTGCACAGACCAGGATCATGAAGACTTGGAGGCCTGCATGCAGCCCACAGACCACCAACTGGACAGTCCTGCAGTAATAAAACAATGTTATTAGCTCCTGGGACTTGAGACGGTCTCATGAAAAATTATATCCGTGTGCTGTTTGCTAAAATGGAACTTTCAACCTTTTTTTTTTCTTCTTCCTGGTCTGCTGTGATGAGAAAGTAGGATTCTTGAAGATACAGTTACTGATTTCATCTGTTCTTTATGTGTAAAGGTAGCATCAGGGACAAGTGTATTAGGTTGTTTTTATTAATAAAATTGGTAAGACTCATAGAGGGAAACAGAATCCTGCCCCTAGGGCAAAACCCATATATTGTATATCACTCATATGAGGTCTGGTCTTCCTGTGTAGTATATAGATGATGTCCTACCTGCTGAGTCTCCATATCTTTATGGTCTCCATCCAAATGCTGAAATTGGGTTCTTAACTCAAACCTCGGAGAAACTCTTCCGCACTGTGTTAGAGATGCAACCTCATGACACAAATGTTGGTGAAGGAGGAGGAGCTACCAGGGAAGAGAAGGTAAGATAATGGAAATAAATATTGTCTCTTTGGTAACTTTGTCTCATTTGCCTGCATACTGGTTTAACTCTGTTTTCTCTCATGACCACTCTGATGACATAACCTTTTTCTAGTTTATACACAGAACTGAAATGTTTGGATTTGCATTGTTCAGAAAATCAACATGATGCATTGTAATTGGATTATTGTGAATTTTAGGACAGTAATTTTAACGTGCCTCTGCAGTCCAATATCTTAATTATCATCTTATGAGGTTGATACAAATACACCTGACTGAGGCCACTGCTGACTCACAGCCATCAATCCCTGTGTACTTACAGGATCACAGAATGTACCATACATAAAAAGCCAGACAAAATCTTTGGTAACCAGGATTCACCCACACCAGACTACAGCTTCTGACAACTGCCTGGTCCAACCCATCTCAATGGCTTCCCTAAGGGCGTAGCACTTTCTTACTTCTAGTTATGCTCAGTCAATATGCCTAAATGATAAGATAACACCAGACCTCCCAAAACTACAATTTACACTTACATTTCTTCTGATTTGGGGGGAAACATTCACGAGATTTACAACTAGGCAGTTTTCATTGAACTTCTTCTGATTTTGCAAAATCAAGTTCCAGACTTTGCACAGCGCCTTGTTGATGAAAAAAATAGAGGACATAAAGGCACCTGGTTTCATATCAATAGAGGACAGAGGACAACCAGACTGTCCTCTATGATGGCCACCCTACTGGTGACTGATAACTTCACATCCTTAATAGGAACATTGCACTTTATTACCCCAGCAGCCATCCTTCCCCTCCTGGAGAATATCTTTTTTTGTTTAACAGTGCTATTACTTGGTTTGGCTTTATTTCCTTCCCTGAAGTGCCTGCAATGAGCTTCTGTCCTTTGCAGGAGTAGCACACCAAAGACTTCAAAAGAAACTGTAAATAAAAGGAGACATCCACTGGGTTTTAATGTCATGTTGGTAGATGTTGCGGACAGACAGAAATTGTTGGCAAGAAATCTGTAGGCTGGTATGTGGATGGATTTGCTATTCTGCAAGGAATACCCTGGGATGAATTTCATCAGGCCATGCTGACTTGAATTAATTCAAAAGCTCTCTGATGTTTTCTTTTATTATCAAGATCCTCAGCCTTTTCCCTTCCTTGTCTGTATAATTTTTATTAGCTGCCTGGTTGCAGCTTTTTTTTTTTGTGAAGACTTAGCAACTCCTCCTCTGCGTGTCTTGTTAATAACTCACCCTGACTATTTAAGTTGACTCAGAAGTTTCTTAGTTCTTCTTTTCCGACCAGTGTATCTATAGACCCCACTTCTTGCTGTCCTTAACTTCCATTGCCGGATGTAACTCATGTTTATCTTTGCGTTCATGACAGTTTTTGCTCTTTGCTGGTATGTTTCCTTAGTGACCTACTGACCTTCCATTGTTTGTATGTTTCCATTTTGATTTTGAAGCATCCAAGAAGCTTCTTTTGAAGCCATAATGGTCTCCTGCTGTTCTTGTGCTTCCATCATGTCAGAGTAGCTTCTTTTTGAGCTTCCAGTACCATGTATTTTAGAAACTGTGATCCCTCCTGGGCTCCTTTACCTTTTGTCCTCTCATGGAACCTAACGTTTGCATAATTTTTTTAGCTCCTTGAAGAGTGCCTCAGCCATCTCTTCTTCCTGATGGTGTAACAGTCCCTTTTAGAAGGAACAGTCAGCCTTGTTGAGAAAGCCCAATTGTGGGACATTTGAAGAAACAGGGACTGTCCCACTGGAAGCTGTAACAGTTTCCAAAAAAGTAAGCAAGGGAGAGGAGGAAGCAAGCTGTGAGTAGAACAGGGTGCTGCAAGGACAGGATAAGCTGTGGGGCTGGGACCAGAGCAAAACAGGCTTCCCTCCTTGTGTCTGGGACAGGGCAGAATGATTTGGCTTTGTTTGTTTGTTGGTGTATTTAAAAGATTGTGCTTTGCTTGGGCACACTGGCTGAGGAGCTCCTTAGTGACTGAATCCACTTACAGAATTTAGCAAGGTAAGCAACCTGCTGTAAGGACCAGGCTGTAGGTGGCCTTCTTGATTGCTTTAAAATCCTTTGAAATAAAAATAAAATCAATGAGAGTGCACCTGTGCTCTGGGGTCCACTCTTGTCACCAATTTTTCTTCCCTTGCACCCAAGCATCTTTTAAAACTGCCTCTTTTAAAATGTTACACCCTTCCCAAGCTATCCAACCCCCTAGCCTCTCCTCCTTTTTTGTCTATTGCTCAACTGGTTATACAGTTAAAATCCCTAGCCACCAGCCAGGCCCTTCCACTCACCACACAAATTGCCAGTTTCCTAAAGAGCTGACACCTGGGGTCTCTCCAGAGGTGTGTAGACATTAAAACAAATTCTATTTCTGTTCCCCCATCATCCTCCATCATGTGCAACAGTCTGCCACCAATCACTCCCCTCCACTCTCACAGTTTTCTTCTGCCACCCTATTCCCATGCATACCTGACCACCACGGGTGCCCTCCACCTTCACTTCAAAAGTGCCGTGATCCAGGTTACTTGGCTGCCCACACTCTTGCCAGCACAAAATATCTGCATTCACATAGTCCAGCAAGGCCTCTACCCAATCCCACAACTTCCGAGTAAAAACATTTCTCACATTAAACAGTGCCACTGCTAAAAATGCAGTAAAATATCCCTACTTATACACCTGAACTGCTACTGATGTTTGGGCCATCCTCCTCCTCCCTTAATCAGATTCCCATTGCCTCCACAAAATGTTTGATTCCTTGTTTACCTAAAAACTTCTCCACTGCTTTACTGATTTTTTTCTTCAATATCTTTGCCACCCATCTGATAGCGGGGGGAATCTGGATCCTCCCCAGATCCCCCTTCTGTTCCCCTATCTCAACTTGTCTTAGGCTTCTTCCCTTTTTTACTCTTTTTATTAATCTTTCCTGCCAATTTCTCTTTCTTCTTCCTTCTCCCCTGACACTCTCACTTCCTTTCCTTCCCCCTCCTGATCTTATTCACCTTCCTTCCTGGTTTCACTTCTGTTTTTCCACTCCCCCTATATCTTGTGTCCATCTCCTTCCCCAGTTTTTCTGCACCTTGATCCACCTCTTCTATGTTAATCTCAAGGCCATCTCCCTCTTCCTCCCTCTCGGGTGTCCATGCCACCTCTCCTGGCTCTTCTTTCTTTCTTTCCTTAATTCCTCTTCTTGGGAGTCTTTTTTTACTTGAAAAGGACTTGGGGCATGTCCAAAATACATGCCTCTCCTTCCCAGACAAATTAAAGTTTCTTTTACCCTGGCACTTCCCTGTCACGTGCCCCTTCTCCTCATAGTTAAAACAGGTGGCTTGAAGGCAGTGGAGTGCCAGGTGGCTTGTCTCCTCACACTTGTTGCACGCTATATGTTGCACAAAGTAAATCACATATCCAGGATGCATGCCTAACGTGATCACTGGGGGAAATTCTGGATTCCTCCGGTGTTCATGGGATCTGCTTTCAGTAATACATTCACCCTCCATGCTCCTTTTCATATGCAAAAAACATCCTGCGGTTTGTCCACAAAATCCACCATCTCACAAGATGTGCTTAACCAGGTTTCCACATCTTCCAGGTGAACTTGATCATAGAGCATTCTGATTGTAACCACCCATTCTCTCACCATCTCTGAACCCGCAAACTGTATCCGCTTTAATTCCAGTCCATTTTGTTCCTCTCAGTATCTTTCTCAAAATTGTTCATATGCCCTGGTATTGCTAAAGTTCAACTCACACAACTTGTCATTTTGAAGTGTTATCAAACTTTTCGGAGCACCGAGCTGTACTTTCAGCACCCCAAGTACAATGTCATAGCAAATCTCTTACGGGGTCATCTGTGCTCTCTCAGTTCCTTCTGCTGCACCCAAGATTGCTTGTACTAGAACCTGTTGTCCCCTACTCCCCACTGCTTTAGTCTGTCCTCTGCAAGCTGAAAAATCACTGTATTCCAGTCATTTTCCGTCCTCTGTTTGCTATCTGTCGCTCACCACGTGCAGTGATCCATCCTCTGATTGCCATTGTCTGTTGGTCCACCACTGTTCCTTGTCCTCCATCTACCTAGCCTTCTTCCAATGTTGATTCATGATTTGCCATTCATCATTATGGCTAGGGTCATTTGCTGCCATATCTTGTCCTCCAGTTGCCCAGTTCACACCTATTACCATGTACAAAACCACTGGATCTGCTCCCAACACATTGGTATGCAGAACCAGATGATCAGGATGTTGCTGCTGCTTCCTCCTCTGTCACCCCTTGCTGCAGCCACTTGGGATCCCACCCCAGCCTCTGTAAGTTCAGGTGTGCACCCAATCTCAGCTGACAAAAGGTGAGAAGTAATCCAGGGAGTATTCCCACAGCAGACCTTCTATAGAACTGTTGGTTGGCCTGCAGTCTGCTGCCAAAAGGGTAAATGGGGAGGCTGCTGTCTCCATCAGTCACTCTGGAGGCCCTAACAGTGGCCATCTAGTTCATTAGATGGGTAATCAGAGCCCTGGGCAGGTTTGGCCAACTAACCAATTAGCCCTGTTGGGCTGCCTGTCAGTGCTCCTCACACCCACTTCCAGGCATACCATAACACATTTCAAATAACATCAAAACTGTTCTTTTCCACCTTTCTTTTCACCCAAATACATACCAATCGGCTATGTTCTTCCTCCTCTGCCAGAGAACAAATGTATATATTTTTGACATATAATGTAATACCACCTACTTTGTTCCCAAACCTATCTGCCCAAAATGAAGTCTCTCTCTCAATGTTAATGTTTCAGTTATGAATTGTCTCAACAAGTCTCTGTAATACCAATTAAATCATAGGCTATCTTTGCCAGCTAATCCTACTAGTTCCTCATTTATACCTTGCATTTATATGTATGCCTCTAAAGTATTTCTCATTTTGACCTACTCATGTCTTTCTTTAATCCCTTTTTGCTATCATATAGCTTTTTAACCTTTCTGAGACTAGCCAAGTCTGGAATTCATTCTGCCTTTCAAAAACAAGGTGTGTATTTTATTTCAGGGCATGTAGTATGTGAGAAAATATGGTAATGGAGGTCTTTTATCATTTCTGTGCACAAAGGGAGACAGTTGGATTTTTCCAGTCATCATGCATATCAAGTTAACAGCAGAATAAGTCTCTTAGCTGCTTTGAGTGTCTTTTCATTTGTAGGTTGCCATTTAACATCTCTAGAATTGAAATCTATACACTACTATTATAGAAGAATACAGTTCCTATGTAATCCCCTGCATAAACTGCTCCATTTGATTTTTCTGTAATGTCCAAAGCATAGGTGACACATAGCGGGGGCATCGGGGAGCACGTGCTGCCCCCCCCCGAGATTGGTCCTCACTGGCCGGGGAGTGAGGGGTGACAGCTGGTCCCCCCCGCCACGAATGTGGGAGCAGCAAGACAAGTGCTGCTGGCACTTCTGCTGCTGCTGGCAATCAGCCGCTGGGGGAGCCCCCCTCTCCCCTGGTCGGCGATTGGCTGCTGGTGCCCCCCCCAGAATCAGGAGGCACCAGTTGCCCATGGTCGAAAGAGTGGGAAAGGTGCAGTTCATGGGAGACAAGAGTTTTAGTTGAAACCTCTGCTTTTTTACACATGTAGAGAACAGGACAGAGCAACTTGGCTAGAAGGGTACAAGGGGAGTATGTAGTATTTACATGAGATACTCAGTGGGTGCTTCTACATGAGATGCTTACTGCAGAGTAGCCTAATACCACTGCACAGTTGCACAGTAGCATACTGTTAAAAACCATGCTAATACACTACTGTACAGTGTTATTAGGCCACTTCGCATTAAGTGTCAAAAAAACCCAAAAAACATGCTGAGGCACTACTGCACAGTAGCACGAATTACTGCACATTGAAATAGTACTTGGTTAATTAAGCACTAAACCTAATGCGCAGTAACTAGGGTGCAATAATGAACATGTAGACACACCCAGTGACTGTTTCCGTTTACATTAGGGGCAGTATGCAGTATCCATACATTCATCCTCTGATAGCTAATCAGTACTCAGTTGAGAGAGACTATAAATATGGAAGCTGTGAACAGTTTTGTACACTTAAAGGCTGAAGATTCCTTGTCTTGCTGGAAGCCACAGAAAAAGTTAATTAGCTTGGGGATTATTTATTTTTGAGGAAACTTGACTGGGTTTTTTTTAGTTTTTAGTATGTTGAATAGCAAATTGAGAGACTTTTTTGGTCTTGGCCATGTTGGTCTAAGGATATAGGCAGGCAGGGGTCTTTGAGTAGATGTGACATCTTTCATTAGACCAACTGAGTAGTTGGAACAAAGTTCTTTGCAAGCTTTCAGGCACAAAAATCTTTCTCCCTATCCTTCTTCAGGCATAGGGAGGTGCTGCTGTTGTTCTGAGATCTCCAAGGAATGGAGAGGAAATTGAGAGGCTGCCACTTTCCTGAGGCTCTGGAGAGCCTACATAGCACCTAGAGAAATGTCAGTGTCATGCTATAGTAACTGAGAACTCAATGGCTATGAGAAGATCAGAATAGTGTGTGTCTGTATAATGGTGCACCACATTTTAGAAATGTCTGGGCATGTTGACACATGTGCATTTACTGCACAATAACCAAAATTACTGCACAGTATGGGTGTGTGGCTACACGTGCATACCCATACCGCACAGTAAATATGGTGACCTAAGCCAATCTGAGAGTAAACTTGATACCTGCACCGTGCAGATATCAAATTTATGTCCAAATAGTTACTGCATAATAATGCACGTGCAGATGGCTTACTGCGCAGTAACACAGCATTAATGCGCTTTAACACCTGCACATGTAGACACCAGCCTATTCCTGCTTACTGCACAGTAAATTTAAGTCAGTGTAAGTGCACGTGTAGATATGCCCTCTGTGTCACATTCAGAATTATAACTGCAATTCAGATGGACTTATGTAAGTTAGATTTATATTGGTTAGCTAAGATACTTCTAGCAGTGTAGCCAAGTCAGCAAACAGCTCAATACAAGCAGCAAAATCTTCCTGAGAAACTAAGTAAATACTTGGGAAATTAGCCTGTGCTTGTGCAGGCCGGGAGCAGTCCGAGGCCCTTTTTTCGCGCGGCGGGCTGTGGCCAGCAGCCCGGACACGCCGGGTCGGGGAAGGCAGGCGGCACGCTAGAATTAGGCACGGACGCTTAATGGTTGTTTAAGATTGTTTACTTACACCGTAGATGGTCGCGGTGCAGGCTGGAAAACTTCCAGGAAAACTTCGCTTAAGTCCCAGTTTAAGGACTCGGACAGAGCTCTGGCTTCACTCACAATTCACTCACACAAAGTTTGCTAGGCTCCGTGGAACTTTGCGCGCAGGGAAGGGTACGTCGAGGGATCGTTCGGCGACGGGGAGAGGCCAGAGGCTGATCAGACCCCTGTTGCCTTCTTGATATTCACGCTGGGTCCAATAGGCTCAGCAGCGCTTAGAGATCTTCACGAGATGTGAAGTCTCCTCCTCCTGATGGTCGTGGAGTCCTCCAACTTGGGCGGAAACCGCTCAAGCCTCTTATACGGCTAGCAAGCCAATCTCTAGCCGCCACGTAGGAATAATTTAGAACTGACCAATAGTGGGGCACGAATCTGAATACAAATGGCGGGAACTCCTTGCAACATGCATTTCCTTTCTGCAGCTAAGAAATGCACCCTGCAAAGAAAGCTACAAACGGCGGGAAAATAATTTAGCAGTGCCGAAGCGCACACAAACAAAAATCACACCCTTGGGTTGTGACAGTGCTAAGCTCTGTGATACATTTGTTACTCTCTTATCTGTACATGAGCTAGTTAATTTAAACACAAGCCAAAGCTACCCTTTAAACTTCTGTGTAGCCATCCCCTGAGAGTATGAATTGATTCTCAGGCAGGGTGCTGGGACAGATAAATTAAGCGGATAAGCACAGGCTCAGGCTTGCCTCTGCCTGAATGATTCTCCACCCCCACTTCCCAGCCTTTCTGCAAGGAGGTAAGCATAGCACTGTATAAACTAGTTTTTGAAATTTGATGCCACTCAATTCACAAAAGCTATGAAAGACTGCCTCAAGTCCAATGAGAGGTGCATCAAGTCGAGAAAGGCTGAGAATTAATAGTCTATGCACTGTAGTGTATGTAATAATAACCAAATGGGAAAATCTGAATAAGGAATTCCAGTAGATTTACTGATAATAATTTTGCTTAAAAAGTTATTTAGGAGTATTCCAAATACTATTTGCAAATATTTTTTACCTGAGCCTTTTTATGGTACTGTCTCTTTGGGACTGACCAGCAGTTGTCATTAATGCTTGAATTCCATATCTATCATGTCATAGCTTTGAAGTTCTATTTGGAGTAATGCTTTCCTATTAAAATCCTCAAAAAATAGAATTTTGGTTTGTGTTTCAACACACAGGCAAGTTGAGCAGGGAAGGAGGTGGTGAAATAGATCTATGCATAAAATGTCCTCCATGCCCCCTTTCCCCATGACACAAAGGCTGCTTGTACATGCCACAGGGGTTTAATTTGGTTTAGTTCTCCCTAAATTTAAACGGTAGGCTTTTAAAAACACAACTTCAATTTAGGGAGAATTAAATCAAACTAATAAGGGGCCCGATTCTTATTTGCCTCTTTGGCAGCGGTGGGGGAGATGGGTGGGGCAAGCCACTGACTGGCTGAATGGTCCCTGAACTGCACAGGGAGCCCTCAGGCAGCACCTACCCACTGGCACCCAGCCCAGGCAGTCCCGGGGGGGCACCGCAGCCATGGAGGGAAGCACCAGCCCCCCTGCAACTGCAGAGGGAAGCACTGGGGCCCTGCACAGCTGAGGCAGGCAGGCAGGCTCTGGGAAGAAAAAAAAAGTCAGGCTTGGTGCTTTTTTTTTCTTCAGTGCAGCATACCTGCATAGGCTGCCACTGGGTCCCACAGCCCCTGAGCTGCGCGGAGCCCACCAAGCCGTGAGCACGTCGGCTTCCAGCACCCCGTGCACTGTTGCACTTTGGTAGGTGGCAAACTAAAATACTTTGGAAGTGTTTTATCTTGCTACATACCAAAGTCGTTAAAAGCAGAATACACCGTCAAGCATGCAAACAGCAATGCCATTAAGGCGGTGCAAAAGGGCATTTAATCCACTTTAAAGGCCAATTTTGTGGCATGTACAAAGGACCAAAAAGCTCAGTTAATACATTTGAGATCCTCGATCTCATTCTGACCCATAAAAGTTCTTGATTTTTAGAACACAGAAATCTCTTATTGCTTTGGAGTTTTACTGGTACACTTTCTGCTTAATTGTGATAGATTTAGTGTCCTGTTCCTGAATCAAACTGTGCGGAAGAACTAAGGGAAGTATCTTGATTCATTATGTTCCCATCACCCCCACTTCTCTTCTTGTATAGAATACAAAATTCAGCTTGAAATTCCATTTGAAAAAATCATCTATTTTAATCACTAAAATATGAAAGAATTACTTGCAAACCCAGCAGTCTTGGGTCATAGGTATTTGATTTGACCTTTATAGCACTTTTCATCATCTTACATTGATCTTCTCACACTGTTCTGATCTTAGAAGAACCATCAGTGCCAACTTGGATGGAAGGAGTGTATGATGTGGCATGATACATGGATATTTCTAAATCATCTTTTTTTAAAGTTCTTGTTTGACATTAAAGTTTATAACATTTGAATTTTAGTTGGGTGGATTAAGCTACTGTGGGAAGTTTCATACATGAGCTAGTAAGGCACTGATTTCTTTCAAATGCAGTAAGTATCCAGAGTTCTCTTCCAACAATCAGGTAACTACTGGTAGAGGAAACAGTGGAAGTCACTCACTGACTTCTCTCTTTTCTCTTTGACAAACAGGTAAAAGCTGCTCTGGATGAGATTCTAGAGAAACTGACTGATGAATTTAACATCCCAGAACTGATGGCAAAGGTGGAGGAGAGGACACCATATATTGTGGTTGCCTTCCAGGAATGTGAACTCATGAACAGCCTCACAAACGAGATAAAGCGATCGCTTAAAGAACTAGATCTGGGATTGAAGGTAGGAGCTTTTTCTGGTAAAGACTACAGCATTGTGAATCCCTCATGTGCGCTAATGATTGAAAAGAAGATATGATGAGGGAATTAAAAATTGCCCTGTTGTGTCTTAAACAGTTACATTTTGAAACATTGCTCAACAAATAGCATCCCCTACTGCAAAAGTATCATAATTCCATGGAAAAAATGTTCAGTAATGTTTTTCAAGTTCCATCTGGCTTCCTGCCCTCTGCTATCAGCTCTTTGTGGAGCTAAAGATACACATAATAATGTCTGGTATAGGGAAGAAACATCAAGCACTTGTGGTGAATACCCTTTAATAATACAGCAGTGGTACATGCCAGAAAACTGAAAGATAGCATATTTGAAAGCAATGAAAGAAAATACTTTTTCACCAAATGGGGAAAATATTAATAATTTATTTTTAAAAATCCACAAAAAATATCCACAGCTATAATAACAAAGATTTAAAAAACAAGGGTTAAGGAAAGGTTATAAGCCCCTCCTTCTTGAGGGTAAAAGTAAATCTTTAGGAGGTAGGGATTAGGAGTGTACTTGTCCTATGATGATCTTGTTATCTTATATTCTTACACCTTCTTGTGAGGCACTGGTCTGATCCATCATAGCAAAGCCTTTTTTCCTATGAGCTATTGCTATGGCAGGTGTTTATGCAAAACCTTGAGGTAGCTGCACAGATGACAGAATAAAAACAGCTAGAATGCAAGTTGTTCTTTGAATAACATTTATGAGAGTAATGTGTTTTGGGACTGCATGTACTGGCAAGCACTGCACTCTGTATGTGGTCCATAGCATGTAATTCTATTTTAAGCAGACAAAAGGTTGGAAGGACTCCATAGGTTATGGAAACAGCCATGGCCTAAAGTCTTGTACAGGTAATCAAGTCATACAAAAAGCTATTGAGTTAATGTTCTTCCATTTTATATCTGTTCCCATCTCCCAGCAGACATTCGGAGCAGTTAGGATTGTAGTGCCATGTGCTGGGAAACAAGCAAGTGAAAGAACTGATGGATCCTACCCCATCCATAAAAGCCCTGGTCAGTTCCCACTCCTGTTCAGATACAGAATTTTCCAAGAAAGAACAAGGTCAAAAACAGAACCCTACTTCAGATGAGTAGGGGGGCCCAAGTCTCACAGGAAAGCAGTTCTGCTCTTTGACCGAACAGAAGGTTATCAAGACACCTAACTGCAACATCAAGCAGTCTGTGCCCTGGCGAGGGACTACTAGATCTTCCTTACTTAGGGTGCCTACAGATGTTTAGGGGCCCTACTCTAACTCATGGTGCTTTACACAAAATGCCATGGGTTAGAGCCCTGCCACCTCCGACCCAGCCACTGCTTACTGCTCCCTCTCCCTCCCCGTCTTTCTCCCCACTGACAGCCCTGCAAGCACCAGCGCAATCCTGCAAAGCAGGAAAAGTTAACCCTAGAGGGAACAGAAGTTCCCTAAGGTGCTCTGCTTTAAAGTGCCTTCATTAACATCTCATTTGACCAAGGTTAATTTTTCGCATGATCAGCCATTTTAAAAGCGCTCTGCAGCCATGCACATGTGTTATGTCATAGTTGTAAAGTGCTTTCAGGGGGCTGATCACACGAAAAATGTAAGCACCTTTAGTCTGATTGCTTCTGGATCTGGCTCATGGAGTCACAGTGTTTTGCCAATTCCTATGCCAGCACCTGCACTGTGGCTAAGAAGCAAGCAACTGTGCTGGTGATGAGCAGGTTTAAGCTGTGCCTGTACTGCCACTGCCTCTCCCCACCCCACTACAAAACCCAAAAGCTCTCAAAAAGAATCCTAGGCTGTCCTCACTGGCCCTGTCACTCAACAGTGCTAATTAACTAATCAGAAACACCCTACCAACATGATTACACTACTTCCAGGTTAGGAGGCAGCCCACAGGAAGCAGCATAGCTTGTTTGATGGTACTACTACCAGGAATGGTAAATTTACCACATAGGGCAGGGTATTTTATTGAATCCAGCCTCAGAAACTGGAACAGGCAACAGGATTGAATTTCTGGTGGACACTCATCAATATGTCCAAACTAATGCATTTGATGATAGGCACACACAAATGTATTTAAACACGTGCAAACATGATTTGATGTGCAGAAAAGAGGACGCATTTCAGTTTCGATTCTTCATTAAGTTAGTTAAGTGATTAAAAGGATTCTGTTTTCTAATTGTCTGTTAATTTAAAACATTCACTTGTATCTCTGATCATAACTCAGAGCCAGGCTTATATGACTCAGCTTCCAGGCAGAGATGCTGTCAAGACTATTAGGGTAAACTGCACTCAGCGGTCTAGGCAGTACATACAGTCATGCAAGGATATTGACCAGGGGCTTTCCTAAGACATCTGTTTCCATATCTTACCCAATGGATAGATTATTTCCTTCTTATAGATTGTGTCAAGATTTTGTTTCTTTCTTTTTATTGGAAGATATAGATATATCAATATCTATCTATCTATCTATCTATCTATCTATGTAGATAGATAGATATAGATATCTCTCTCTCTATATATATATATATAGCGCTAGACAGATAGACATAGATATCTAGATATTTATATCTAGATATAAATTTATATTAGATATTTATATCTAGATATCTATATCTATCTGTCTAGCGCTATATCTATAGATATCTATATATCTATCGATATGTCTATATCTTCCAATAAATATATATATAAATCTTCCAATATATCTATATCTAGATAGATAGATAGATACACATTTTATTATGGCCTAATTTCTGCTCAAAGCCTTTGTAGTTTAGTTCAGGACCATACTTCTCACAATTTCTGTATACTAGTAAGCAGTCATATATATTTTTCGATTTTAAATTTAATTGCTGAACATTGACCCAGCTACAATAATATCATGCTTGCTTCTCAGAGATTGATACATAAAATCACTTCTGTTTACCTATCTCAGGAAACATAATTTCCTATTCAACTACCAGATGTTGATAAATAAAGCAGATCTGTTTAAAATAATTGGCAAGATCAATTATCAGCCCATTTTCAAATGGATTTTGTATTCTATGCAATTACTAATTGCATGTAATTTTTTTTTTTAGTCAAGAGAACAAATATCAGATTTTTATCTGATGTCACCTAGGTTATTGGACTTCTCACTTTTCCGCTTCTGTGAGCAGCAACCAAGCTACTAGGTCTAGGCCTTTCAGAGCACTGTATCTCACCTGGAGATTCAGGTATCAAAAAGTACCCCAAGGGAAAAAACTGAGGCAACCGAATCAACCAAAGCTCAGGTCCTCCACAGAAATGCCCTGAGCATTTCTATGGCTGGCTCTTGCCCCGGTGCTGAAGCACACTGCCTGCTCATGTGGGGCAAGCAGTGGTGCAGGCTACAGAGACCTGGATCCGGGCTCCATGCCAGGAAAGTAGGGGGTAGGTGGGGCTGGAAGAGGGGGGAGGAGACCATGAGGGGCCCCATCTGGCCCTAGCCCCGCCCCCTTGTTCTCCCAGCTCCCCCTTCACTCCCCAGTCACTTCCCCAGCTCCCTGCTCATCCCCCCAGCCTCCTCTCCTTCCCCCAGCCTCCGCTTCTCATGCCAGTCCCCCAATCACTCCAACCCCTCCACTCAATCCCCTGCCCCTCCCCCACCACAGCCTGCACTCACTGGCTGTAGCAGCGGCATCGGGGCTGCTTAAGGCCACATGACACAGTCCCCCTATGCAGCAGGGGGTAGCAGGGTTCAGCCCTGGCCACCTGGTACCCCTGCTGCCGCTGCCACATCGTGTGGGTGCAGCCCAGCTTGGCAGGGTCCTGTGCAGAGCTGCATGCTGTCTGGCAGCTCAGGGGCACTCAGGCTGAGCGGCA